CAGGAAACTGAGCCCTACAGAAATACAGGCTGATGCTTTTGAAAGTGGACTCTGATCTTTGAGGCCTTAGTTTTAGGGTGCCCCTGCTTGGGGGACCTTGGGCCTGATTTGCAGAAGGGCTGAACTCGGGCCTTCCTTAGGATTTATGGGACCCTACGCAGTATTATTAAACCAGTACCCCAATGCCCCATGGCAGCCTGGAGTAGGGTTGCCAGGTGTCCGGCATTTTCGCCTCCTGTCCGATAAAAAAATTCAGAAAATACTGGACACCTAACATGTCTGGTATTTTCTGATTTTTTTTCCCCGGCCAGGAGTATGGTTGCCAGATGGTTTCAACAAAAATACCGGACACACTTGACATTACATCACAATCGACATTACATCTTATTTAGAAAATACCGGACATTTATATTTTCTCAATTTGTTTCCCAAACAGAAAGCACAAATACTGGACTGTCCAGTTCAAAACCGGACACCTGGCAACCCTAGCCAGGAGGCTTCTTGGGTTCCTCAGGGGAGCTGTCTGGCCTGGAGCAGGGAGACAAGATGACGGACGGCCGCCAGCAGCCTGTTAAAGCCTCAAAAGAATTTCTTAAAGGGGCTATGCTGGGTTTTATTTATTTATTTATTTATTTATTTTTTGCTTAACAACTCTCGGGGTCCTTTTTTTTTCCTCAACAACTTTGGTCTCCCCCTTTTTTTTCTCAACAGAACTTTTTCCCCGGTGATTTTTTTTGGGGGTGGGGGATGGAGTTGATATTTTTGGTTAAACCATCTAGCAACCCTAGGGGGAAGGTGATTGATGATTTTTTAGAGATGTGATTTTATCATCTTCAGTGACACATTAATGAAATAGTTTAAAATTTGTTTTAAAACTAAGGGCCTGTAGACAGTAAATTCAGAAGCTGACAGGGGTTGGCAAATGCCTGTGAAATGGCTTTATTACCACTTGACTGGCTCTTTCACAGGTTCACTGTTCTGTTAATAGCTCTAGCTGGCTTTTTCACTTTCCTGTTAACTAGATCAGTGTTTCTCAACCAGTGGTACAAGTATCCTTAGGGGTACTCAAGAGAAGTCTGGGGGGTACATCAGCACAACTTAAATGTAGAGAAAACTGAATTTTTGTTTTAAGTTTTACAGTGTTTTATTATTTTTGTACTTTTTACACCCAAAAATGTCATCGTCTGCCTGGCTACAATTAAGTTGTTTAAACAAATGTGTTGCAATGGTAGAAAAAAAAATTGTGTGTCTAAAAACTGTAGGTACTGGGGTACTTATAATAATAATTATTTTTTAAAGGGGTACTTTATAAAAAAAGGTTGAGAAACACTGAACCTGATCCTCTCTGGAGAAAGCAGAGCCACAGAACAAGGATAGGGAGAGGTGGATGGGTGGACATTAAGACCCAGGGGTGCCCCAAATTTTCAGGTGCCCTACACAGCTGCATATTCTGTGTATGGGTAAGGATGGCTCTGGGCTGAGCACCTATAGCATGCAGAGACTTGGACTGGAGTTGTGGGTATTCTGCAACTCTGGGAGTCAGTCCCTAGGGCCGTGTCCAGACTCAGGGGTTTTTTCGGGAAAAGTAGCCTTTTCCCGAAAAAACTTCCCCTGCGTCCAGACTCAAGCCGCGTTCTTTCGAAATTATTTCGAAAGAACGCGGCTTTTCTTTCGATGGCGGTAAACCTCGTTTCACGAGGAAGAACGCCTTCCTTCGAAAGTTCCTCTTTCGAAGGAAGGTGTTCTTCAATGTAAAGAGGCCGTCTTCGAAAGAGAGCATCCAGACTCGCTGGGTGCTCTCTTTCGAAAAAGCGGATTTCTCTTTCGAAAGATCCGCCTGCAGTCTAGACACGATCTTTTGAAAGAGGCTCTTTCGAAAGATGCTTTCGAAAGAGCCTCTTTCGAAAGAAGCCTGCAGTCTAGACATAGCCTAGGTGTTTCCAGTTGGATGTCCTAAAAAAAATAATAAATCAGACACATTCAAAAATGTGGACTCCTGCCTCCCAGCCCCTCCTCTAACCATTAAGACTCCACGGGGGTGCTGTCTAGATGCCTGAGCATGTGTCCAAGAACATGCCACCTCCTTCCTGCTTGGAACACTCTGCGCTGGCCATTAAAACAGTCTCCACTAGCAGAAAAGGAGCCATGTCGCCTCTTGCTGGAGAGGTGGCAGGATTGTGGTCCAACAGAAGCGAACGGGTGGTGGATCAGGCCCTGAACGAGGGCTTATTCAAAACCAGGATTTTTTTTTAAAGAAGTTAAAAATAAGCATGTGAAAATACCAACCTCCTCATTTTCCCTCCCTGTGGACCCTGCGTCGGCACTTCTCAGAGCCTCCCTAGAGCTCTTTCCATGTCAGTGCAAACATACCAGCTGCTGCGGAGCGAAGTTCATACTCGCTTGGAAAATGGTAACAACTTCATGCTGGCTCCTTGGGGCCTGACCCTGGGTCGACAGGATCATTCCAACTTATCCTCCAGGCATGTAGCAGCAACAGTCACGCCAAAGAGCATGGCTTCCTTCTGGGAATTGCTCTATTAATCAGATGTCCCCACAGAGCCATCTATGCCCCTCTTCCAACTCACCCAGCTGGGAGGCATCAGTGAGTAATGCAAGCGCTTTCCTGCCTAATAGCAAATCCTATCCCCTGTTCCTTCTATCTCCTGCTGGCTTGGGACCAAAAGACCAAGGCTGGATCTTGAATGAAGATCCCCCACAGGCAGCCCCTTGCTTGCTGAATTAGTTCTTTCCATTGATGGTTTTTTAAGTCCCCATTTTTAAAAAAAAATGGCTCATGGGATGTAATTGCTCAAAGGCAGATTTTTGTTCTTGCTTTGAGAGGGATTTTGGGACTTTCCAAAGCTTTGCAGCCACCCAATTCCAACACCTTTCCCGCAAGTGGGAACACGCCCAGCAGATCAGAGAGACAAAAAAACGTGCAGTCTCGGCAGAAAGGAAAAAAAAAAAAGTCCTTCATCTGCATGAGAAGCCAGGAGTAGCTCTGTCAGCATTTCTCCATCTTGGCTGCTGTGCACACAGGACCCTCTCACAGGCCCATTTCGCACAGGCAGCTCGGAGAGGTACTTCGCTTTGTAAACACTTCTCGGCCTTGTTTACACTGGCGCACGGCCCACGAGGCAGAGTCATTCGGAACGGAGCCGATCTTTCCCTGAGAGATGACCGTACGAGGGGGAAGATCAGAACCTCATCTCCTCAAAGATGAAAGGACGTGGATTTCTCCTCCCCCACCCCTTCGCCGCCAACTTTATTTTCATGGGAATTTGGTGAAGTGCGCCTGGAAGGGAAAGATCTTTGACAGGGCTGCAAACCTCCTGCCACCACCTCTGCAAACTGCACCCAGACATTTCCTCCAGAGCCCCTCAATGCTGGGCTGCTGTTCCGGGTCTGAGCCAGTGTTCCCTGGAAGCTATGCATTTGTGCGGCCATTCGGGAGAGATTCAAATGCCGCCCATTCCTTCTAATGCTGGATCCCTCACAGCTCTGCCCTGCAGTCCTCACCTGCAACCAGCCCTGCTATTCCAGGCCTGAACCATGCCCTGGGGCATTACAAACTGTGGACGTCTTGGTGAGGTGAAAAATATCCACCAGGGACCAAACTGAGGACAAACAAAACTTCATTCACCTGTGAGCTGAAGGAGCTAGGAAAGGCTGGTGCAGGGAAATCCCAGTTACTGGCTAATGGGGTTTTTTATGTTTGTGCAGTTGGAGGATAAAACAGCCCCAAAGAACTGGAACCCACATTTCCCAGATGAGATGCACTGTTGCTCTTTAGAAATGGAGCTTCCCTGTGCTCTGGGATGAGCCAGCCTTGCTCACCTCCAGCTCTCCTCAGAGAAGAAAGTGTTGAAGAGGCTGGATTGAGTTCTGCAGGGCCATCCATCCCCTACACAGAAAATCTGGGGCACTCCTGGGTCTTAAGTCCACCCTCCCGCCTCTTCCTGTCCCTGTCCTGTGACTCTGCAGTCTCCCGAGAGGCTCTCATTAACTTAAAAGTGACACAGCCTGCCAGAGCTAAGAGCAGAACATCGAAGCTGTGAAAGGGTCCGTCAAACGGTCATGGAGCCTTTTAGCAGGCATTTGCCAGCCCCCGATCTAGATTGTCAGTTTCTGAATGTCCTGTGCCTGCAGGACCTTAGTTTACAATTTGCTTTAAAATATTTCATTAATGTGTTGCTGACGTTCATAAAAATCACATCTCTAAAAAAAATCAGCCCCCCAGCTACCTTCAGGCATAGGGGCACCAGTGTTAACTGTACTGTGTAGGGCCCCATTATTCCTAAGGACCAGCCTGGAGTTATGGGGCATGGGCTCCTGCCTTCTGGGGGGGAGGGGGGCTGCTATTCGCCCACAAGTCTTTTGCCATCATTGGAGCCTGCCTGCTGAGGTCCCCTGGCTCTGCCATTGTTCTCCTCCCCAGCCCCAAAAACTCTGCGACACGGGAAACAACATAAATAGTTCCATGTTTCTGTAATAACCCCCCGGCCATCCTCCCCCTCCACATTCCTCCAGGGCAACAGGTGAATCCTGTTTTCACCTGGGTACCCAAATAGTTCTAGTATCGCCCCCTTATTGTCCACAACAGTTGAACTGTCTGCTCCTGCCTTAGCCAAACAGCACCAAGTCACCCGAGAGCAGCAATACCAGGCTATGTTTCTTCCCTTTCTTCTGCAGAACAAGATGATCCGCAGCAAAGCAAACCAAAGAACACAGATAACAACCAGAACGTCCTCTGATCGACCCCAGTTCACCAAGTATTCTTCCTCCAGAAAAACCGAGAGAAATCCCTTTCTCCATCAAAACCATCCCCTTCCCCCTATAGACACACACACACAAACAAACCAGAAAACAACTAGCGACAAGAATCTAAACCAAGGCACTGCAGTGACAGAGCCAGCTCGCCCAGGTAAAATGCTGAGCCCCCATTCTCTCTGGAGTTAAGACAGACACACGACATTGATGCTGGTCATCTAGAAGCTTACTTTGCAGAAGCAAAAGCTGCCACAGCAGGAGTTTTGCTACTTGCTCCATTTCTTCAGCCGCTGCGTGTTTCTCTCTCTCTCTCTCTCTTCTGAAAAACAAGTCGGAGTTGTTTTTTTTTTACCCCAAAACACTATGACCTCATCAACGTACAGTCGGAGTGCCAGAGCCAGCAGCTCAAGTTCTTGCAAAATTACTCCACCTACAACTTCTAACATCCACCTCCCTTCTGTACTGCCCCCCGCAAACACACTCTCCTCCCCATCCCTTCCTAAAAGGCTTCCTGCTCAATTTCTCCAAAACACTAGCGCTCTCTCTTGCCCCCTTGGATCCTGCCGCTCTGCTCCCGGACTTTGATGTCGGAGTCTTATCAGCTGACATTGGCGGGTCCCACACATCAACACACTCCAAAAACCCGCCCCCTCCCCCACTTCCCTTCTGGGTCTGGAACTCATTTTCCCTGGGCTTTTACTGGATCCAGCTGTTCCTCCCTTTCTGTGACACTCATCCAGCTGTTTGCCAGGAGCGGGACTTTATTTATTTATTTGTTCATTCAGCCCTTTGTGGGGTTTTTTTAAAATCTGTGTTTCCTTAGAAGGTTTTTACTTTAAAAACAAGTCTCCAGGGAAGACTTAGGCCAGGGGTGGAGAACCTTGTTTGGGTTGGGGGGCTGCCGACCCACAGAAAAAATCAGTTGGAGGCCACACGCAAGTAAGAAGTGAAAAAACCCCAACTCTCACTGATGTGGCCCCTGACTGAGAAGCAGAAAGACACTCCCCATATTCCCCTCCCACATCAGAGCCTGGGGCGGGGAGGCCAGGCTAGTAGATTTTGTGTGCTCTGGGGAGGGAAGCCCTGAGCCTCAGGGGCTGGATCCAGGCAAGCGGGGGGTAGAATTTGGCTTCCCACCCTGACTTAGGAAATAGTGTTGACTTGCACTCAGGGAAGGGGAGGCAAAACAGACTAGATTCTAACTATCACCTAAAATGTCTCCAAACAAACAGGATCCCTCTCTGGTCTTTGATGCAGCTTCTCTAGTGCACAGAGACAGGAACGATGTGACCAGCATCGAATCTCTACATTTAAGCTCCATGTAGAAGAGCAGAATATGACTGATTGATTTCTATTCAGGGAAAAACCAGACACCTTGTATAGCAGATCCTGGAGAGTCCACTATACTGTTCTTTGGTTCCTTGGTCCACTCGTGAGCTTTTAGAAACAAGACTAATGAAATGTTGGTAGGGACACCTGGATCTGTTGTTACTGAGGGCTATGACAGAACTATGAAATTGGGCAGTGATGGAAAAGCAGAGTTCTTGGTGACGGTGTTCCTGAGAAAGATTGTTAAATTTGGATGGGTCTATGCATATTGTACTGACGCCACAATAAGTGTGATTTCATACCAGCACAGCGTTGTTTGTGGACACGTATGTCCATTCAAGCCTGGCTCAGGGCAGTTTTGCTTGTGTCAGTAAATGCACACTATAACCAATATAATCAGTTCTAAACGTATATGAAAGACCACATAGGAAAGCTGCAGCACTAACTCGATTCCAGTTAAACCCACACCGTTTTTGTGCGGAGAGAGTCAATTGAGAGAAATAACTCAGAACTATCAGTGGATAATTCCCTCTTGGCCTAAAAAGAAAATCTGGCCAGCTAGTATCTCTAGCATCCACGACCCACCTGTAGAAAGCAGAGTCGTCTTCCCCATAGTCACAGATTTTTTTTTTCCAAATCAAACACATATTTTCAAATCTAATGTTAAAATTCCTCAGCAAGGTTTCCATTCTCCAGGAGCAACTGCTATTCTGCACGTCAAGTCCTTAGAGACAAGAAAAGATGCCTAAGAGCCAATAGAGTCAAAGATGCAGCAGGTATCGGAAACAGAACACAAGAGCTCCTGATCTTGGACAGATCTGTTAACTCTCTAAGGAGGAAAATCAATGAAAACAGTAGGAAGTAACAGGAAGGCCTAGGTCTGAAATCTGTAAATACTCCATTGTGAGCAGAGATGAAGCAAACCTTGCTTCACCTCTACTGTATATCTCAGCAGGTTCTATGTCTTTTCAGCTCACAACAGGGAACTCCTGCTGCTACCAGACCGCACTGAAGAAAGTGTGAAAGAGCGAGAACAATTCATAAGAACATAAGGGCCACACTGGCGCAGAGCAAGAGTCCATCTAGCCCAGGATCCCGTCTTCTGACAGTAGCCAATGCCAGGGGCCCCAGGGGAATGAACAAACCAGGCAATCATCCAGTGACCCACCACCTGATGCCCATTCCTGGCTTCTAACAAACAGAGGCTAGGGACACCATTCCTGCCCATCCTGGCTAACAGCCATTGATGGACCTACCCTGCATGAATTTATCTAGTTCTTTTTTGAACCCTGTTATAGTCTGGTACTTCACAACATCCTCTGGCAAGGAGTTCCACAGGTTGACTGTGTGTTGCATTAAGTCGTACTTCCTTTTGTTCCGCTTCACTTCATTTGGTGACCCCCTCACCCTGTCAAAGATCTTCCACTTACAGGTGGATTTCACCAAAATCCCATGAAAATAAAGGTGGAGGCGAGGTGACAGGGGAGGAGAAATCCAGTTCTATAAAGATGAAAGGAAGATGACTATCAAACTCAAACCAGAAAACAAAACAAAAACCAACCCAGCCCTTGCCATAACGTTAGAAGAATGTCTGTCTGTTCAATACCTGTCCCAGATTGAGTCTTTCACAGGCAATTTATTTCCAGTGGGAAAATCCCAATCCAAAACTGGCAAATAATAACATTTAGTGGGTAACATCTTGAGTCAGGACTCCTGGGTTCTCTTTCTGGGCCTGTATGTTGACCTGGACACCCACACTACCCACTGAGGTCAGTAGTAGATGCTTGGAATCATTGCAAACCAAGTCATTGCTCCCTGTGCCCTTGGCTAGCTACTTTTGTGGCTCTACTGTGTCAACACTTCCCCTCTTCAAAGGCCTTGGAAGCTTAAAAGCTTAACTGCTTAGAAAACTCCTTGAGGTCCTTAGAGGGAAGCTGAACCAACAACCTGATTCCAAACCTTCCCAAACTGCAGAGAAGTTAATCCATGCCCATGCCTTTGCCTCTGTATCTATAAAGGGATCAACAACACACCAACAAAACATCTCTGTCGCCTCCCATTCTTTAGCTCTAATCCAATTTTTGATCTCTCTCTAGAACTAAGGCTGTGGGGAAATGTACTACAACAATGGGACAGCGATGGTTCTTGTAAAGTGCCTGTAACGTTACACAGCAAAATAATCTGCTTTGCCATTCCCCATGCCAGGGAGGTCACAGACAGCAGCAGAAGAGCTGTGACAGGAAAGGAATTTTTGGTTTGGTGGCAAATCCAAATTGGGAAAAAATAATAATTTTGGGTTCCACTGAAAAATTTTTGGTGACTCAGACAGAAATTTCATTCTGACTCGAATGAAAAGTTTTGATTTGATTTTTACCCCTTTTAAACATTTTTTAAAAATAAAATTCAAGGAGATGTTGTCAGTGGGAATTAGGCTCCTAAATCCCTTAGGGGCTTTTGAAAATATTACCATGCACAAGACCAACGTTTTGCACCTAGATTTGGCTCCATGCCTAGTGCTAATGCCAGAGGGGTAGAGCAACTGGATGGGACCTGCTCTCACCGCATGTAGTATGAGCAACCTAACAGGAGGATGAAAAGTGCTTCGATGTTATTTTAGCCCTTGGGCCCAATTCTCAGCAGGTGGGAGCTGGCGCTGATCCCTTAGAATTTGGCTCTGTGCTTTTGTACTTCAGAGAGTCGTCAAACTGCCCCCGAGAATTTAAGAGTGGATTGTAGCAGGCTCCAGGATTCCATGCCCTGATTTAAACATTCCGTTGAAAGCACGTAATTCTCTATGGATTTCCACTGGACTCCTGTGCACCAGTCCAATGGGCATCTCCTACCCAACTAGACCTTTGCCTGCAAAGAGCAGGGCATGTAAGAGCTGCCCACTCCTACCTCTCTCCTAGCCCAACTGTGTGATCTCTTGAACTTTCCCAGCAATTCCCTTGGATCTGACCAGCAGGGAATGACTCTCTCAGGCACAGTTTCAATTTTCTCCATAGAGAAGTGCAGTCCCTGAAGACTTGTCTCCCATCAGAGTCCTTCTGAGCACCCTCCTGTCCTGCCCTCCCCACCTCCTGTCCCTGTCCCTGTCAGAAGCTCCTGGCTTTCCATTCTGGCTACATATGGAGCTTCCAAGGGCATCAGGCAGCGAAAGGCATCTCTGACCCCTTTGCCAGGCTGCATTGGATACAGCAATTAGTTTCCCAGTGTTACTGTTTAGTAACTTGTCACGCAGCCTGAGAGGGGATGGAAATCTTTAGCAGCTGGCAGCCTGCTCCGCTTTGTAGACAAACACACTGTTCGTCGGCCATTAGCACCACCCTTTCCATGGGAGATTCAGACCGTGCTGTGTGACGAACGGCTGCTGAGGGAGCCTACAAAATGGCCGACGTGACATTTAGGTGGCAATGCATTGTGTGTGGAAACACCTGGATTCCCTAAAACTACACGTTTGAATCCTACCAGAGCGACCACATCCCTTTGTTCTTCCAAGGGAAGCAAGGACTGAACCCTAGAAAGTGACAAGTGGGTGGATCTGTCCAATGAGCCCTTCAAACCAAAGGAGATTGAAGGTCTCCAGAACATACCTACCAGAGAAAGTGTGTGCTTCTGATCAGTATTCCCCCTGCCACAATACCATGCCCTGTCCTGTTGCGAGATGGCAGCTTTCCCCCAGCCTAGAAGTGGCTGCAGGGGTAGTGAAGCTGTGTTTATCTAGCCGGGTCCATGCTTCAGGAAGAAAAGTGCGTTATAAATGGAACATTTTATCACACAGCCCTAAACACCAGAATGTACTGCGTGCTCTCTGACAAGTGTGAGTTGAGGGGCGGCCAGACTGGATCAGACCCGTGGGTCCATCTAGCCCAGTATCCTACCTCTAATCATGACCAGTATCGGTACTTCAGAGAAGGGGCAAGAAACTCCAGTGATTATTATTAAATCATCTGTCCATAAATAACGTTTATTTTTAACCCACGCGGACTCAGCCCAGTGAAACGAGCAAAGAAAAGTTCCAAATCCCATGGGACAGGCCAGCTTGGCTACAAGACCCACCCATGGAAATTTGACCTGAATGTGAACTGAACCACTCTGCGTGGCTATGGAAGTGTGGGTAACTTTGGGGGCTATTTTTTGTTTCTTGTGGTTGTTTTCCTACCTCTCTGCTCTTCCCAGGTTGTACGAGTCTCATTCCCTACCCAACCCAGGGAACACTTTGGCACAAGCCCAAGGGGAGAGAGAGACATGTAGAGATATTCAGAGGAGCACCGGAGCCAGACATTTGGAGCTTTGCCAACTCCAGAAATGAGCTGATGAGGCTTTTTGGAGAGGCACGCCAAAGCGTCAGGAACATCATGAGGGAACCGTGTGGAGGAAGCACGGTCTAGTGGGTAAAGCACAGGACAAAGAATCTGTCTATAGAATCTGTCATATATACTGTATGCCAGACCCTGAAATCATTTCACAGCCCCTCCCTCCCTCCGTGCCGCCATTTCCCCAGGCAGGGGATCAACTGCCTGCCTAGTTCAGTAATTGTCGCAAAGTGCTTTGAGATTCTCGGGCAGGAGGGGCTAGAGGAATGCAACGTGATGAGCCGCACTTCTGCCTGTAGCCCTGCCTCACCCCTCCCCAGCAGAATGCTTCCTGCTGGTATAGATCCCCACGACTGCCTAGACCACACTGAGCTCCTCCAGCCGGGACGCGGGCCTGTCATCTTTTCTGAGGAGAGGGGGAGAAGGAGCTTTTCCTGTGGCATCCTGTTGCCTCCATCAGCCAGAGGAGCTGGAGGAAACAGTTCTGAACCAACAGGCCCTCTGCCCACAGAGCAGCGCCTGCAAAACCTTTGCCGCAGGGGCAGAAAGCCCAGTGCTACTGCTGCCCTTATGCATCTTGCAAGCTTGGGACCAGCTCCACCCTGCTCCGCTCTTTCCCGCCTCCAGCAGATCCATCTGGGCCTTTCAGGCATTGACTGCAAGTGCCTCTTCCCTCCCCCCGCCCCCCGCTGCCCTTCTGGCAGTGCAGAAGTTGCTGGCTGCGCCTTGCATGACTTCTGCGGATCGCTGTGGTTGCTGCTGTTATGAATCGGCTATTTCCTGACTGAAACGAGCCAAAATCCAGGCAGAAGCCACTGAGGTCTGCAAAGGAAAACAGCTAAGCTGGCGAGAAGAGGAGCAGCCGCTCTGGGGCTCAGGCTGACGGGGAGAGGGAGGCCAAGGCGTTTCTATAACTTCCCTCTCCAAGTGAGTGTGGCTCGCAGGCCCTTGCCATGTTGCCTGTCCCTCCTGTACCCTGAAGTCCCCTCGCCGGGCTGGCTGGCCTTCACGGTGAAGCAGGGGAAGCCTCGGGGCCAGGGCCACTTGGGTTAGCCACTCCGTGGTTGTTACCCAGGAAGGCCCTGGAGGCGAGGTAGCTGCCACAGCTGCTCTCTCTGCCTCTTGTCAGGCTGGGCATGGAGGAGTGAGCTTGGGACCTGAAGCTAGAACCTCCATGGAAACCAGCTCGGCCAGCTTTTAAATCCCAGGTTCTCCTAATGCTGCCCTTCTAGCAGGATTTGGGATATCGATCTGCAACACAAGCAGCACCACTCATTTGCTGCAACAGCCCCTTCCTGCTGCCTGCTCGGAGCACTGCGATGGCCAGCGAAAAGCAACGGCGCCCAGGGAACAACACTCTGCTTCAGCCACCAGCCAGCTCCCAGCCTCTGGCCAGCCGGTGGCTCCAGAGCTGGCCAAGGCATGTTACAGGTTACCATGACGAGGCTCTGCGTGCAGGCGGGAGAGCTGGGTCTAGTTTAGGATCCAGCGCAGCTGCAGGTCCTCTTGGAGAGCTGATGAATCGGCCCACTCTGCCCTACTCGCTGAGCCTGTCGTCGAGAGAAACAAGTTTGTTCGAATCCATGGGCGATAATGCTGCCCACTTCGTATTTATGATGTCCCTCGGCAGTGAGAACGCATGGCACTATCGGAAGGTATGGGCAGGCCAGGGACGCAAAACCTTCAGGTGGCCCTTCAGGCTCCAAAGCTTTACACTGTTTTGGTTCTGAGCCCAGTTTCGTGAAAACCAAAAAATCTCCATTTGTAAATTGCACTTGCATGATAGAGATTGCACAACAGTGCTTGTGTGAGACGAGTTGGAAAATACTATTTATTTTATCTTTTTACAGTGTAAATATCTGTAATAAGTAATAATACACAGTCAGCACTAATCACTTTGTATTCTGAGTTGTAACTGAACTCAATATATTGGAAAATGTAGGAAAACATCCAAAAATATTTATAATAAATCAAAATTGGCACTTTCTTTTTGTGTAACAGAGCAATTAAAACGGCAATGAATCACAACTATTTTTTAATCTCATGACTGATTTTTTAATTGTTTAACAGCCCTACTTTGCAACTTACACTATGTTTTATTAGTGCCAAAGCAATTCTCAAGAGTGCTGATGTGACCAAGTGTCATAACCCAGCTGTTGATTTAAAGAGACACTGCACATACCTATTTGCTGGCTGAGAAAGCCACCCAGTTTAGGAACAAGCAGCTTTCACAGGCGTAAGAAGGTGCATAGGTATTAACAAGGCACGGCAGGAGTATTTCCCTGTGGATAGAAAGACACAAAATAACATTACATGAGTCATTCACAAAGCACATGTCCGCGATCCACAAGCAAATGTGGATCAATCTGTTCTCATGTGGGATTGAATGACATCTCATCATGATCAGCTCTCAGCGATCAAAAGCAAGGGAAAGATTCCCAGTGGCCCTGGGGATTTCCAGACCTGGGGTAGCAAGAAGCCCTGCAGATGGGAAATGTGGCATTTTGACAGGTGCACTGGCCACAGGTCAGGGCAGGAGAGACATCCGCAGAGCAGTGCCTGGGAAGCCTGTGGGTCAAGATTCAGGTGCATGGATGCAATTCTTGGTAGCAGGAATTGCTCGAATCACTCGTGGTACCCCTCCAGTGTGATCAATCTGCCACAGTCATGGGGATTTACTTGACAGCCCCATGTTTGTCCCTCCCACACCTCAAGTCCCCATGCCGGGCTGGCAGATCTTCACGGCTAAGCAGCGAGTCACTTTTGGGTTGGCCACTCCCTTTTCTCAGGACAATTTGAATGCCCAACTCCCTTTAGTGCTCTCTATGGCTGATGGATGAGAACAATGTAACACAATCCCACCTCAAGTCCCCAGTGGGTACATGTTTCCCACAAGGTTTCATTTGCATGCAAAGCTTTTCCCATTAAAACAAATCTTCCTTCTGCAACGAATCCCGTCAGCGAGACTGGAATTATGCAACATGCACTTGGTACGGTCAACTAAGAGGCCAAAACTGGAATCTGTCCGCAATGACAGGCTCGTCAAAGGAAGCCTATCATTATCCCAGTGACCTAACGAGCAGTGGCATCTCAGGGACTCCATGTTACAATGTTTCTTCTGTACTCAAATTACAGTGCTAACCCCCCCGAGGTGCCCTCTCTGAAGAGGCTGATCAAAATGAAAAGTTCAGGGTTCTGCATATTCCTGTTTCACTGCTGACCCCGAATGATGATCGGCCAAGGCAGG